AGGTCAGGAGCCAGGGAGGGCTCTCATCCGCCTCTGCTTGCCCACCTTGGCCCAGACTGGAGTCCAGGAGCCCCACCCTACAGGAGCTGTCAGGTGTGGTCATGGATGCTTTCAAGTGTGGTCCTGCCAGGCCCAGCCACGCTTTGGGTGGGGGCTGCCGGGCTGCCTTGCCTGCCAACCCTTTGTAGACAGAGGCTCCCTTAGTAGCTGTCTGCATCTTGCCTGAAGCCAGGGCAGGGAGGGTCCATTCCTGCTGCCCCAGCCAGGAAGTTGTGCAAACCAGGGCCCAACAGCTCCCAGCCCTCTGCCCATGGGGGGTGGGGGAGGCAGGACTGAGACTTCATCCATCCATCTTCAATGGATTGCTTCTTGAGGGACCTTGTCAATCACAAGGGAGGGAACATGGGTGGCTCTGGGTGGTGGCAAGAGGGGTGGGGTTGCAGGAAAAACTGGGTTTTGGGGTCAGACAGGCTGGGCTTGAACTTGGATGCTGCTGTTCACCGGCCTGGTGACCTCCTTGAGCCCGCTGTCCCCACCTGCAAAATGTGGGTAGTAATAACACACCCATCTTTTGGGGTTGTGGTGAATCTCAAATGCAATAATGTGTGGGGAGTGCTTGGTGCTCAGTAAGTGTTCACCTTTATTAAGGAAAGAGGGCCTTTAATTTTGGGTGCTGAGACTTAGGCTAATAAGAATTACGCAGTTGTATGCACTTTATGGCAGGTCTAAGTATCTTCTCAGAGTCCCATTTCTGAGATGAGAAAACTGAGCTGGAACTGCCCCAAGGTCACAAAGTTGGTAAGCGGGTGGAGGGATTGGAACTCAAGCGTCCTGACTCTCTTTGAGCAGGGGAGACACTTCCTAAGCAGTCCAGGGAGGGCTGTGGGCTCTGGGCTGGTGGGCGCAGGGGGAGGTGTGCACCCAGGGGGCAGGGAAGGTTGGGCCAGCCTCTCTGGAGTCCCTTCCAGCCCTGACCATGCACCCTTCCTGGAGGTCGTACCCCGGTTGCTCAGGCACAGGGCAAGAGGAGCAAGGGCTGGTTGTCAGCCCCCACTTGTCCACCTGCCGAAGTGTTCTTTGACAATCTTCCACTCTATCATTCTGGGCACTGAGCTGCCAGGGCTAATATTTCTGGGATTAAGAAGACAACTCCAGGGGCGCCTGGGTGGCTCAGTCGTTAAGCGTCTGCCTTCAGCTCAGGTCATGATCCCAGGGTCCTGGGATCGAGCCCCGCATCGGGCTCCTGCTCCGTGGGAAGCCTGCTTCTCCCTCTCCCACTCCCCCTGCTTGTGTTCCCTCTCTCGCTGTGTCTCTCTCTGTCAAATAAATAAATTTTAAAAATCTTAAAAAAAAAAAAAAGAAGATAACTCCACTCCCAGGGATTTCCCAGTAGCCACAGGGGCAGTGGTGGGGGAGGCAAGCTTGGGTCTGGGATTCCTTAATCAGAGGGGCCCCTCCCCTCATCCCTAGCCCCAAAGTCTGCGGTACTCTGCAGCAGCCCGAGACCAGCCTCCCAGCCTCCTTGTCTGGCAGTGAGCCCAAGGCCTTGGCCACAGTAGCCACAACTTTGACAGGCCTTTGCCAGCTGCAGCTGAGCCAGCCCCTCTCTCCCTGGCTCAGCCTCAGAGAAAATGCGAGAGTCTTCAGGCAGCTGCCCGAGCTCCCTGGAGAGACCCGACAGCTGATGGATTGTGCCAGTCACTGGGCTTACTGGGAGTTAAAAATGTGGGCAGCAGTAATTAGAGCACATGGGGGTGGGGGGCACCAGGTCTTTCTGGAAGCATCTAGACACTGCCTCTCTGGGAGTCCCTCTCCAGCCAGCCCATCCCCTAGGCTTCTGGCTAGTCTTGGGTGTCACTCACCCCCTCACCACTAAAGGGGGGCCAAGGAGGGGCCATGTGGGGAGGGCTGGCCCCTACCGCCCCACTGTCTAGCAGAAAGGATCTGTCTAGCTTGGGAGTCTGGGGACCTGCTTGTCTCTGGCTCTGTGACCTTGGCCAGCAGCCGGCTCCCGTGACTCATTTTCTTCATCTGTACAATGAGACCATTGGACTGGATGTTCTCGAAGGCTCCTTCCAGCATAGTGAATCAACAGTTTCTCCTCCACTCGCCCTCACTCCCCCCACCCCCGGCTGTCTGCACTGCCCACTCTGCCATCTAATACTCCTGGAGGGGTGTGTGTATGGTGAGTGGAGGGAGGTGATGAGGGAGGACCTGGCATCCCCTGTGGTGGCTGTGGAGGTGGGAGGCCCTATGGCTAGAGCACTCTCGTGTCTTGGTTGTCCTTGAGTGGCGAGGGGCCTGGAGAAGGAAGGGCAGGTGCCTGGTGGTAGGGCAGGTTTGCTGAATATGCCCTCAGCATATTCACTCACTGGCCGGTGGGAGGCCCGGGGACTTCCAAGAGCATCTCAGAGAGGCAGGGTATGGGAGATGCTCCCTGGGACACCCAGACTGGGCGTGTGCACTGACTTGCTACCCTGGGTCTGGGGCTGCAGGAAACCAATTAAGAAGAGAAAATATCTAACAGGACACAGGAAGCCCTGCCCAGACTGACTCCCGGCTGCTGTGTGTATTGGCAGGGTAAGGACAGAAGGGTCCCCGAGGCCCCCATCCGCAGAGACACCAGGAGAGGACCTGCATTCGACACCCCAAAAGCCCACATCCTGGGAAGGTTCCCCCATGCACATACCCCATCCCCCCCACCCCTGGCTCCCAGATGCAGAATTGGAGTTTCCTGTTTTCCTGCCTGCCTTCCTAGAGGTAGTTTTCCCCTTTTCCCAAGGTATAGGACAGAGTTCAGGCTGAACCCTCAGTCTGTGGGAGGGTAGGGGCTTGGTACTCTCCCAATCCTTCCTCGGGGACTGGACACTGCTTCCCCAAGTAGCCAGGATGGGCGCTGAGGACAGGAGCTTCGGGTTTCCAGGCTGACATAGAACCTCCGCCCAGGGCTCTCCATTCTGGCCTGTTCTGTGCGGACTGACCGGCAATTTTCTTCCTCTCTGTCGCCCTCTAGTGTCTATCTGCCACCACCACACCTTGCCTTTGGTTCCTCCCCTCCCCCAAGGTTTCTGGACCCGCTTACTCCCTGGCTCCCCGGGTCACTTGTTTACTCATTTGACAAACATCTCAAGGGTGCCTATTTGGGGGATGGGATGCAGAGGCCAAGAAGGCATGGCCTGGGCTCCAGAAACTCACAGATTTAGGGAGAGATGGACATGCCCACAAATAAGCCGTACAAGAGCTTGGGGCCCTAAAGGCAGGTGTAGACCCGGAAGAGCGGGAGAGACCCAGAGGTGAGAGTGGCCACTGCAGCTGGGGACCACGAAGGCTCCTTGGAGTAGGAGGCAGCTGAGCTAGGTCTTGAACCATGAGCTCACCGGAACCTTTGGTGGTGGAGAGGTCATGCATGGAGGGCCCAAGGAGGCAGGTCAGCTGGACTGGGGTGTATTGGAGTCAAGGACAATGATGGGAGAGGAAGCTAGGTGGGGCGTGGGGGTTGAGGGAAGTGGGGATGTTCAAAGCCCCCAGAGTCTCCAGGCTGAAAGGAAAGTCTTCCTGGGTCCCTGTTTTCCTCCCCACTGAGCTGCATGCTCTGCTCCTACACTGAGTCAGGGGGATGGACACACTGGGCTCTGGCTTGTTGGTGCCAGATCTTCTCTCTGGGGTGGAGTCTGCGCCCCTCCCACTTCTTGGAGGGAAGGACCCCAGGACCCTGTGCCCTCCCCACACTCCCCAGGTGCCCAAATCCACAGAGGCCTGGTCTCACCACCTGTCATCCGGGCACCAAGTGTTTTATTAGAGTCCAATTTTTATCCGCACCGCGGAGAAAGAGGGAGGGGGAAATAGAGGGGGAACCCGGACCAGACCCCAGACCCCTCCCCCCATGGGAGCCCAGGGCAGGTGCCCTGTTGGGCCAAGGAAGACTTTGTGAGATCCCTGAGGGCCCCAGGAGGAGTGGGCTGGGAGCAGCAGAAGAGGGCTGGGGGGCCACTGCTTCCCCATTGATGCCCCAGGCCAAGGCCCTCAGTCTAGATCTAACCCTAACCCTTTCTTCAAAGGGCTCTAGCACTCTTCTCTGGGTAGCCTCCATTGACCACCTCCCCACCAAACCCCAAGAAGGAAGTGCTCCCTTGGGCAGGCCCCAAAGTGCATGTTATCCCATGCCGGTGACCCTGTGCTGCCATCTGGCCTATGTCCCAGACATAGGGCACACTGGGACACCAGGGCTTGCTCGGTCATCGGACTGCATTGCTCTCCCCTGCTCCTCACAGGCTCTTCTTCCATCTACCCCTTCTCCCTCCCACCTCCTGACCTGAACCCCTTTTGACCTCAAGGTCAGATGCAGTGTGGTCTGAATGTCCCACCTCTTGTCATGCAGAAGGCCTGGCAGCTGTGGCCTTGGCTCAGGGCATGGGGTGAGGGCTGAAGGGGAGAGCCTGGCCTGGAGAGAAGAGGTGGGACCAAGAGTGAGCTCCCCGGCTCCTCAGGCTGGGGCTTAGGGGCCCACCTAGTGGGTCTGGGTACTCCTGGGCCAGGGGAGGGGCTGGGGGGGAGGCTGTGGAGCCAGCCTCCCATCCTCAGCCAGGATCGTGCAGCCAATTCAGAAGGAAGCAGCTCCCCAGCCTGGATGGCGATGCACCAAGGGTTAGGCCATTCTTCCTTCTGGCTAACTTAGATCCTGCTTGCCTTCCCACCTCCTTGTCTGCCCATTGATAGAGAGGAGCCGAGGGCCTTGTGGAGAGGGGAGGGGAGGCTCCCAGGTCTGGCACCTTCCAAGGTGTCCCTGGGTCCACTGAGCTGTCCCCAGCCTGGTGAGCTGGCATCAAGCAGGAAGGGGGACAGGGTGATCCCTGTGTTCGCAACGGCTCTTTGTTCCCTGGACATGGTGGGCAGACAGGAGGTGGGGGTGGGGACCCTCCAAAAGCAGCAGAACCCAGCTCCTCCTCGTCTGCAGGGCGCCCACCCTCAAGGTCTTCCCTGGCCCAGGGACCTCTTTGTAGCAGTGGGGTGCAGGCCCCCTCACAGGTCCTGGGGCCTGACCTCTCGCCTTTCCCTATGCCAGGGGGCACCAAGCTGGGTCTGTCTGGGCTCAGAAGCCCCCACTCTCTGAGCTGCTCCGGCTGTGGTAGCTGGGACTGGGGGTCCGGGAGGGGCTGCGCGTGCGGCTGCGGGTCCCGCGGCTGCGGCTGCTGTAGCTTCCGTGGCTGTGGCCCGGGCTGGGGCTGCGGCTGGGGCTGCGGCTTGAGTAGTCGCTGCTCAGGCAGCTGGAGGAGGACGAGGGGCTGGGCCGGTAGTAGGGGATGGGACGCTTTCGGGCACTGCCGGGAGGGAAAAGCTGATTATAGGCCATTCGGGTCCCTGAGCTCTGTCTTGGGCCCTCACTCAGGCCCTGAGCCCTTCCCCAGCAGTGGCCAGGGCTTCCCTGCCTCAGTTTCCCCTGACCTCTGGCCTTGGAGTGTCCCCTGCCCCGAAAGGACTGGACAGTCAGTGGTCTCTTGCCAGTTTCCTGTTGGTCATTTCGTTTTTCCTCACTTGTCTTCAGAGAAAGGAGACCAAGTCTGCTTGGCCTGAGAAGGTGCTCAATAAATATTTGTTGAATAAATGAAACTTTTAAATATAGACAACTCACATCAACCAAGCTAAGCAGTGGTTTCTGGTCATGGAAAGCGTTGTGGATAAGGCCCAGCCCTGTTTCTCTGGTCCCCACAGAATCGAGGGTTTCGGTTTGTCAGGTCACTTCAAGGGAACAAGGAAGAGAGCCCTGGCCGTTGCTGCCCATGACCATGCCCCCACCCTGTCCCCCCCAGTCCCGCTGGCCCCTTCTCACTCAGCTACCTCCCGCCGGCCCGGAGTTAGTTTGAAGCCAGGAGGCTGTGACCCAGAGAAAAGAAAAGAGAGTGGTTAAGGGGGCAACAGTGCCCCATGGCGTGGGGTTAATTCTGAGGAAGAAAACAGGTGTACGTTAGTGGGAGGAGGAGGCAGCCTGGGAGAGGGGCTGAGGGGGGTGCCAGGTGGAAGGTGCAGGACTCCAGGAGTCTAGGGCCCTCCGCATATGGGTGAGGTGTGTGGCCTGTCTAGGGGGTGTCCCAAGCCTGGCCATCTGGCCTCTAGCTCTGGGCTGAGGGGAGGAGGCGATGCCCTCTCCTCCCTCCACAATCTGCATCATCAAGGACTTGGAAGGGCTAGTTTGAGAATCAGTCCATGTTAGAGCTGAAAAGATGCTCAGGGAGCTCTGCTTATTGTTCAGACATGCACACCCAGACCCAGAGAGGCACACCAATCTCCTAAAGGCTGCCCAGCAGGGTCTGTGGCAGAGCTGGGCTCAGAATTTTGCCTGTAGCCCTCCACCCCAAGTCTCAGGGGTCTAGGGCTTCGGACTGGTTTCCACAAACACAGAGCATAATTTCACGGGGAGACCTAGGCCCACACCCTCCAGTCCTGGCAGAGACGCTCTCTGATGTGGCTTCTGCCATATCTGCCACACACTCCCCACAGCCCCATTGGACTGGGATGGGGGGAAGGGAGAGTGGAAGGGACAGGCCCTCCCACAGCTGCCCCAGAGAGCAGGCTGCTGGTGCCCCCTCCTCCGAATTCCGCCCCCTGGGGCGGGGGGGTTGTGCTGGGAGGTGAGCGGAGTGAAGTTAGTGACAACATGAAAGGCAGACAGATGACAGCTGAACAGAGCCAGATCAGCTCACATGGGCATCTCCCCTGCAGCCTGTGGGGAGGGGGTCCACTCGGCCCCCAGGCCGGCCACAGGCCACTCGGCAGGCTGGACCTTGAGATGAAGGAGAAAAGGAGACATCATTGCCAGGAGATGGATGTAGGGAGCACGGAGAGAGGGAGGGGCTCCAGGAGGATGGCTGGAATCTTCTGGAGCTGAACTCCATGCTTGCTGCTGCCCACTCAGACCCAAGTACACAGCCCCCTCCCCTCCGTGGGCCTTCAGACCCCTGCCTCTGAGTCCCACCCTCCCCAGCACCTCCAGTTCTAGCCTCTCTCCTCCTCCAGGGGCCTCTAGCCCTCACCAGGCCCTCTTCCCTCCCCTGAACCCCACCTCCCCTGCCTGCACCAGGTTCAGTGCGTCCCCCAGGAGGTCCCTGCGAGCCCGGCCCGGCCCCTCCGTACCTGGTGATGCGCCGCGGCTCCATGAAGCTGGGCGAGTCCCGGCGCCGCTTGCGGATGGGCGAGTAGCTGCGGGAGCGGCGCCGGGTGCGGGCGGCCTCGGCCTCGGCGTGCCTCGCGCGGCCCTCGCCGTCCTTGTCCCTGTGGGCCCGGTCGAGGTGAGCGACGCGGCCCAGCCGGGCCCCTTTGGGCCCGTCCCCGCCGCCACCCCTGCGCCCGGCGGGACCCCGGGCCCGCACTTACCGGCCCAGGGTTTTCTTGGGCGACGGCGAGCGGCTGGGGCTGCGGGTCCTCTTCTCCGCAGAGCGCGAGCGGGACTTGGAGGGCGAGCGGCTGGAGCTCCACGAGCGCGGGTGGGGGCCCGGGCTGCGCGACGAGCTCTTCCCCTCCGGGCCGCCGTGCCTGCCGTGCGCGCCCGGGGACGGGGAGGTGCTGGCCGGCCGGGCGCGCGGGGGCCGCTCCTTGGCCCTGGAGGAGGGGCGCGGCGACAGGGACTCAGTCAGCTAGGGAGACAGTGGGCTGGACGGGGGTGGGGTGGGGTGGCGGAGTGGGGTTAAAGGGGTGCCGGTGACAGGGAGCGGGCTCAGCTAGGGACAAAGTGGGCTCAGTGGAGGGAAAGGGACTCCGTAGGGGAGGAGTTCTACGGAGGACATGTGGATGAGGAGAAGGGTTAGTGAGGGGGAGGAAGTGGTGCGTGAGTTGGTGGAGCGGGACTAGATTCCCAGAGGAGGGAAAAGGGCTAGGGGTGGGCGTGAGGTAGTGACATAAGTGTGGAAGAGAGTGTTCCGTGGTGTCGAGGGACAGTGATCAGTGGGGGCGGTCAGGTGAGGGAGGCGAGTGCCCCTTGATGGGAGGAGAATCACGGGGGGTGGGGGGTGGGACTCTGTTGGGGAGGAGAGTGATCAGTGTGGGGAAGGGAGGGCTCCTTGGTGGGGAGACAGCGATCGGTGCGGGGGGAACTCGGGGAGTGGGGAAGGAGAATGGCCAGTGAGGGGGAGAGAGAGATAGTTGGGTGGGGAAGGGTGCTCCATGGTCGGGCAGGGGGGAGGGCAGTGATCATGGAAGGGAGAGCTTACTGAGAAGGAGGGAGAGTGGTCAGTGCG